TCCACTTGATGAGTGGAAGTGGAGGGAGGCACAGCAATGAAGAAACAGGAGAGGAAGGGCTGGCTGGTCTGAAGTGAAAGGAGTAGTGTGAACTCCCAACCTGCAGTTGGTACCCATGACGCAGCTTGAATGGCTAGGGCTGAACTGACCAGAACATGACCTAAAGAAGAGAAATATGTTTGACACTGTGATGTAAACTGCTGCAATTTGATGGCTTCCTCTGGGCTGGACTTTGCTTATGGATGCAGATGCTCCAAGTTCTAACAGAAGATTCTTCAGAGAGAAAGGAACATGATTATCTCCTTGAAGCATTGGTTTGACAGGGACAAGCAAATTAGAAATTGGCTATCTAAAATAGGGAAAGATAAAGGTATGAAGTTGCTGACTTACACACTTTCATGGGTGTGCTTAAACAGATTGTGAAAGGGATGTTAATCTTTGATGTAAGAAAAGGACAATGGCTAGAAGAGCCAGCAGATGGCCTGTGGTGAAGAGAATTACTTGGTATGGCTTTTCTAGCCATAGTCTTTGTGACTCCCACCAGACGAATGGGTGGGACCATCCAAATAAGGTATATGGAACTCTAATATGGGGATTAGTTAGTTCTGTCATTCTAGTAGGCTTAAAATGAACCCTCCTAAAGGGAAAAGGGGGGATCTCACTGCCATCAAGAGAGAAGAGCTGGAGGTGGAATGGAGCATGTCCTTGGACCTGAGACTCCTGCATTGGACCTCCTAGGCAGAGACAGCAGGAAGATGATGGACAGAGGCAACTGGTTGAGACAACTGGCTGAGATGAGTATCTGAGGAACCAAGAGGCATAAGAGAGCAGCAGTCTTGCCGGCCCATGGAGTGAGAAAACTGAATGCCTTTAGGCAGGAAACTTGCTGGCAGAGTGGGGTGTACCTATCGGCAGAGCTAAAACAGGTTTGTAACACTTGCACAAGCAGGGCAGAGGCAGGCTGAGAGTCCAAGGCCCTGAGGGCACAGCAGAGGGGAGACAGTCCTGATGGAAGAACTGTATCCTGAGTATATTCCTGAACCTGATTTGTAGCCTGTTACTTCGCTAATAAACCCATAATCATCAGTGTTGTCTGTGAGTTCTGTGTTGCCATCGCAAGGAATTATCGAACTCAGCAGAGAAATAGTGAGTGTCCTGGGAGGGTTGGCTAGTGTCAGAATTGGTAAAAAGGTTGGAGGGTGGCAGTATGTCTGGCCTCCCAGGAATGCTGACAGTTATTCTCTCTTCCCCTTGTGAAGTCAGAAGAGGTCATAGGAAGATGCCATCTCCACACCCTTTTTGTAGGGAGAAATGATGAAGTAAAAGAGCTGAGCAGAAGATTTCAAAGGGCATCTCAAGAAGACAAAGCAAATTATTATAATGCAACGTGCACAGCCCTGGTGTTAGAAACTCAAAAGGGAAGAATAGGTTCAGCATTTCTCAAGCTGAAAGAACTGAAGAAAAAATTCAAGCCTTGAGTTGTAATATTGAAGGAGTCTATAGGCAAAATATTAAACAATGCAAGAAGCATCAAAAGAAGATGGAAGGATTGAGGTTCCGGCAAGATGGCGGACTAGGCAGAAAGACTGCACAGACCCTCTTCAACAAAGAAAAGGGAAACCAATGAACACAGACACAGAAGATAATCTTGGACCCCTGAGCCTTGAAGGGAAGGATACAGAAGTGGACTAAACCCCAACTAGCAGAAGAATTTGCATGAAAATAC